GCTGACTCAGTTTTCTTTCCACATTCTTGTGTGTGTCCTTTTATTTCCTCCCTTTTAATTTTTTTCTCCAGTTGTTCTTTAAATATAAAATCCAGAGACCTGTTCTGTATTATTTCTGGTCTGATTTTCAGGAGCTGGTTCTCTTACATCTCCTGCTTCCTTCCTGACTGCACATAAGAGAATGAAAAAGTGATGGACAGAGAAGACATTTATTGCTTATGCTGCAAATAAATCCTTAGTGATCAAGAGGAAAAATATTTTCTAATACTTTAAGACCTGTGAGCATGACAGGAGGGCAAAAAGGATCACCTTGTTCCAAAACTACTCAAATCTAAATGTCAGGCTTGCAAATGACTAAAACACATAAAGCATGATGAGTGATGATCTTCTGGTTTTAGACAAAACACAAACTTCCTCTACAATATAGCTCTCTGATGTAATCATATTTAACTTCTGTGAACTTATAGAAGTCGTTCCATTTAGTGATTTCTTGGAATGTCTGTTATTTAGTCTATCTGTACTGTTGGAATTCTTTTACCCACTGCTGAAACAGTGAACCTTTTCAAAGTGACTTTTGGTATCATAATTGCTTCATAACAGACCCATCCTAAATGTGGGAGTTCTAGAAAAAAAAAAAAAATCTCAGTAGAATAAGATCTCATCCCTACTTAAATATTTCCAGATATTGGATAAATAGAAAAATCTCCTGCCATCACTACAACCAGTGTCTTGACTCTTGCTTAAAGCCTAAGAAATCAGGAGAGGGAAAATGTTTTCTTCTTGAAATTAGTCCAGTGATGAGAGAAGCACATATAAAATATATTTCAAGAAGTTGGTCAATACTTTAATTTTGCTTTTTTCTGATGGAATCAGACTTCAAGAAAGTGATTTGAGAAAGATCAAAATAGGGTCTTGAACAGGACAGGCATTTTTCTAATTATGGTAAGGAATCCTTTTCTCCATATCCCAGAATGATACATCTCATGCCCTCAGGCCTCATTTCAGTTTCCTCTCAGTGACAATTACACAGTGTTAGAATGTGAATATGGCATACCTTTGCTTTTTTTGTTTGTTTGTTTTGAGAAAAGTTTGAAAGCCCAATTTAACTTTTCTCCACCAGCTGCATCCAAAACCAAACCATGGTGTGCCACCTGCCAGGACAAGTGGTCTACAAAAGACATTACAGACCAGGCTGTGGCTTACAGGAATGTCTTTTCAAAGGAGACAGCACAATTCAAACCTCTTTTCATGAAGGAGAACATCCTGAAGTAAAGGTGGCATAGATGCAAATGTAAAATCTGTCTCTTTCCTCACCCACACCAATATTGTTTCAGCATCCAAATCTTTATGACAGATTGTCCTTCCACTGTGTCTAAAATCTGTTAGTGACATAAAGGTAGAATGTTTTAATTAAGAGATTACCTTAACAGTGAAATTAACTAATGCTTCATAAAACATTTTCAAAAGTCCCTAAATGATTATTTATGTAATAGAACATAATGGCTCTCAAGTGGTCATTTATATCTACTTCATAAATACTATTCATGTTTAGAAGCTAATTATAATGTGTTTTTGTCTGGATGTCCCAATATGCATGTGATAACTTTGCTTTTATGATGTAATTTATGAGTGTTTTTGTCTGGATGTCCCAATATGCATGTGATAACTTTGCTTTTATGATGTAATTTATGATGTCATCAGTTAATTTGCTTGTTTATTTTGGTGTTTCCTTAATTTTTTTATTTCTGAACAGAAACACAGCAGTTATTTTACTTTCTAGGTTTACATTTTGTACAGGTACTCAAGTCACTTGTTAGGACTTGTAAAACATAGAAGAAGGCATGGATTATACGGGAATAATATACACCTGACCTGGTGTGGTATGTCAAAAGCAGTTTCGGTTTTTTGTGAGACAGTTATGCACAATATAAAATATAAAGTGTTGTAAATCTACCAAGTTGATTAAACAATGCAAAATAACAATAGGAGGAAGTACTTTTTGAGCAAGTCCTACATAATAAGGTATAATTTCAGGCAGATCAAGGTAGTGCAGAGCATTTTTGTGCAGAATTTCTTCTGAAATAAGACGCCTGGGACACATTTGTTTAGCAGCCTAACAAGGGGATGAAGTAGACTGGAATTTTGACCTATCTGAAGATTGGTCTAATTCAGTCTGTACTTGAGTAAGAAGTACCATAGAGGAGAAGACAGGACCTAAGATACTTAGCCTGCACACATACAACTTATGCTAAATACTTAACTGTACATATAAGAAGATCCAAGTCCCTCTCAAAAAATCTCTTGGAAATAATGAACACCATAATATTATTTGCTGCCAGTCAGGAAAGTTTTGCCTAGCAGACAGTATTCAATTTTCATAGATGGCTAATATTTTTATGTGATTGTAAGTCAAATGATTGTGTCATCATTATATACCTCCAATTAGAATTTCCTTTATCTTCTTCAGCTTGTCTATATTGATTATAAGATTGTTTAGTGGTCTAATCACCCAGACCCATGATAATTTACCAAAATGTAGCTAAAGGGTGTAACTACAAGGGGAAAGTAACTACAAAAGTTTTAAGTTGCTGGTGCCATCTTGAAAAGGATGCCAGCACTTGCTCAGAATTTCACTTCAAGTCGGAAGCTCCATTAAACAACAGATGACCTTCTTTGACTAGTAATTGGTTAAATAGTAATTGATAATTAATAGTAATTAGTAAATCTCACAGGCGACAGCTGGACTGAGCCTTTGCAAAACACAGCAGTGCATTGAAAAGCTTTTTTAATCTTGCCATGATATGAGTGACATTCTATGAAAAATCAGAGAGGTAGATTAAAGTTAGAAGTGGAACACCTAACCTTTCTGCAAGGAAATCATGCCCATTGATCTGCCCATGTCAGATCAAGACTTAAAACACTGATATCTATTTAACAAAATATAAATATGAGGTGATTTTCCACTTACAGTCATGTTATATGAAAAATAAAAGGAGCCTCATTTGAATGATTTGTGGTCAGCTTCTGACTTCAGAATTCAATTCATTCAATCACAGTTTAGTGTCATCTACAAGAGTCTACACTGAACAAATTGGTAGAAATAATACAGTAATTACTTTGAAGGGCTGAAATTTATGACATTGTCAAGGAGACTAGTCATTAATAAGCTCATGAGTTGCTATCTAAAACAATTGCAATAAGCTTTTTTTGCATCCTGAATCTATTACTGATTACACCTTCTAAAGCTGTGCTCCTGGCACCTCTTTATGCAGAGGTTCAGTGTACCAAAATGAGAGAGATCTAATTGCATATGAAATAATATTTTATTCTGAGCATCAAAGGAGAAATGATCTTAACAAACCTGACTGAACCAGAAAGATTACCAGGTACTATTTACCATACCCTGACTCACAGCATTAAAAAGTTAGACTCACTAAGCCATGGATATGAATTCTTCTGTATTTTGACTCAATTGACTTCATAAATATCACATCAGAAAATGTAGTTTTCTATTAGGGTTTCTTTGTCTGGGTCAGTAAAATATTATTAGCCAGCTGGGCTAAGATTAAAACTATTGTAAAAATGGAAAATACTGCAAAAAACATGCAGTGCCTCTCAAAATACTATATTACATCATCAACACAACAAGAAAATTTAGACAGATTTATAGGGGATAGGGAAAGGTAAACAGTGCTGGCAAAAACAGAGTTCTGAAATAAGCAGAAAATTCTAGTGAAACTTACTCAAGAACTCTCTTAACACATACTCTTTTAAAAAAAAAAACACTAAGGAGACCTGTAGCCGAATACATGTTTAACTACTGCAGAAGTGTTTATATACTTAAATTGAATCAGCTTGTGAGAAAGTTCACATACATGAAAAAATATCCTGCCCCCCTTTTGAGAGACACATAAAATTTTCTCAAAACTAACAGTTGTCCTGTGCCAAAAATATAATGTATATGAAAATAATTAAATTATAATTGAAAAATTCAAAGAATTAACAAACAAAAACTTCAGCTTGCCATAATATTTATTTGTGTGCTTTCAAATCAAATCACTTTTTCTAAAATTCTGCTCCTAACCACTACACCAGGAATATAAGTACATCTATAGTGCCATCAAAATTCAGTAATTTCTATCACAGATCACTTTTTCTGGTTGTAGAAATGGGTTTCAAAATGCTGTAAGCTAAATGTTGCCAACAAACTGCCAAGATAAAATAAAATAGTTGATAGACATTGTATCAATAAGTGATTGTAGAATTTGAAGACTTAAAAATTAACTATAGTTCATTTAGTGTAAGATTTTAATGGCCATATGTTTCCACTTTGCCAACAGATTTCACTTTGAAAACAGATTTCTTCATCACATTGTTTTCACAGTGACAACCGACAGTGTTGAACATTTTAATATATTCAACCAGTCATACTGAAAATATCGACAATCGTTAAAATCAAGTTTCATGTATGTAAGCAATAAAATTCATACTCAGTCTCTTTTTCCAGTTCAGGAACTGGTTCTGACTTCAGAGATCATATTCTGCATTTGCTTAGTAGTTTTAAATGTAATTTGATCCCAAATATGATAATCCTTTTAAATTCCCTGATAGCAATCTGTTCCTCTTACTTTCCACAGAAAGATGAATCCAGCTATTTAAAGTATGCTTAACACTAAAGCTCTGTGGAAGATAAATATTCAGTTTTGTGTTCCCTTCGTTTTTGATCCTCATTAATGCAAGGCAATAATTTTAAATACAGTATCAAAGGTGTGATAAAATATCTAAAAAGAACCGAGCTATTAAATTTGCCTTTCCTCCCCTCCCCCTTCTTTTCTTTGCTCTCCACTCTTTTTCCATTTTTTCAAACACATAAATCTACCAGAAGATTCAGGATTTTTTAAAAAATCCTTTGCGTAAATTTTAATGAAGCAATTGTATTTCTGTTCACATTCAGTAAACCCACTTTTCAAAATAATTTCACTTAAACATAAGGATGCCAGTTATCTCTTTTTATTGCTATGCATGTCGTGTCACAGAACATTATGGCTTATTGCAGAGAGCATTATTGCAAAAATGTGGGGTGCACAAAAATTCCAGAGTAAAGAGCTCTTCATTGGTACGTTTGCTCTAATGTCTTTCACGATGCTGTACACAAGACCATGTGCAGCTCTGCAGTGACAAAAAATGTCTGAGTCATCATTCAGCTGCTATCTAGAAACTTTTGCAAAATAGCATCTGTGTTTACACAGGCAGGCGTTCCCAATGCATCTGTAGATCCGGCACGTGGCAGCGATCTCTCTGCAGTCGGGTCCTCCTCTGGGTGTGCACTGCATCTGCCAGAACAAGTGCAAATGAAAAAAAATGTCATATTTGGCTACAGGTACTTTCTGAACTTTCAAAATACTACTGACTCTCTAACATGATCTTCAGATAGCAAATGTTAACAAAACTCCCCTCAGTCATGAAATTCCAAGCTTCAAATCAAGAATATTAAGAGTTTTTCCCTGAGCCAACACAGCTTCCTACATCTTATGCACAAAGTGCAATCCATATATTCAAAATCCCACACTATATGAAAACATAATACCATGTATGCCTTCCTCTTGAACCACACAACACAGATGCAATATATACTTTACACTGTCATTTCCTCTGTTCAACATGGTGTTGAAGAAAGAATAAATATCTCTGGACTAAAAAATCAATTCAGCTTCTGCTAATTTCTCAAAATTTTGAGAGCCAGACTTAAGCTTTTCTGAATCCATAGCTTGTCTTCTGCCATTTTAATTTTGAAAGTGACTCTTAATTTGCAGACCTGACCTTGCTCCATGTGTCAGATGCTTTTTTCTTCAGTCATCTTTCATTCTTTAGACAGAAATCTTACCTCTAGACATAGTAGGTACAGATACACTAAATTACTGCCCCTTGTTCTAATTATTGGCTGCAATATGGTCTTCCTTTTGACTGCTGTATTTACTTGTCTCCATTGGTTTTATTTGCTCTTTTATACTGCAAGAACAGCTATTGTCCTGACATAGAACCTCATACACACCTCATTTCTGAGCCTGATCATGCACCTCTCATTCCTGATTTGGTCATAACAAAAAAAGAACATAAATTATTACCTTGCACTAGGATACTATTCTAAGTAATCTCTCTCCCTAATTATTGAGACTTTATGGTGGTAAACAATGCTTCAATTTTCTTCTATTCTTTTAATAGTATCATCTATTCTTTGAAGATCTCAAAAAAAGGTATGACTACAAATTAGCTCAGAGATTTCAGTGCTAGCTATGGGATTTTCTAAATACTCAGACTGCCTTATGTTATTTCAATGCTTGCAACAAGGGATGTATATTACATTCATCTCTCTCCTTCTGCACCAAAAATCAAGCTCTGTCTCAAGACTACCAGTTTAAAAGTCAGATTGCAAAGTTCTTTTTATTTTCCAGCTAAACATATATTTAAATATTTCATGAACCTGGCCCCTTTTCAGCACACATTTTATTAAAGCCAGCTGTGAAGTAATTATTGAACATGCTAAAAATGGCTTTTGAGAGTAGAACAATGTGAGTTTTGTCCAATTTTGATTCACAAACTGAGATTTGACTAAATACTACATTCCAAGAACTCACTCTCTTATGAAATGGAGTCTGAACAACTTCAGAAACATAATTTCTGAGAAATGTGGGAATCTAGGTCAAGGACTGATAGTAGCAGAATTTGCTAATATAAAGGAGTATGTTTTTCCTAAATAAAAAACATGCTTTCAAGCACCAATGAAGACAAAATAATGAAGAAAGCACAAGCAAAACAATTCTATTTGAGAATAAAAAAATTCCATGTAAAATTCAAACTATATTGCATGCATAATTTCTTATTACAGAAATAAAGGACTTTGTTTCATTGAGATTTACAATCTAGTGACATTCTGACGGAGAAGTTGCATATTTCTGATGAATTTCCCAACATTTATATTTTTTGGGCACGTTTGGATGCATATTTTTTATACCATATGAACTTCTCACATGTGTTTGTATGAGTATGAGGCATTTTTTTAAGCATAAATGAGAAATAATTCTTTTCAGGAGGAGCATGGCCTAATTTTGCGTTCTTTATGATTAGTCATATATTTTCTAAAAAATAAAATTCACACCTCCAGCAATAAGATTCTAATTGGTTCTGCATTTGCATACCAATGGATAAAAGTATTTAAAATCCTGCATATATCTAATGCTGACTGCATGCAACCCGGACACTGCCTGTTAAAAAGTGATTAGAAATTAATATAACTATCCCATGTATTCACAGCTTGAGATCTGTAATATGTAAAGAACGATCATTCTTAAAGGGGCCACACTTGTGAATGCTGTGTTTAATTAATGCCCTAGGGAAAGAGAATAAAAGGAGGAGGAAAAGTACTGCAGTTGAATTTATTCTGAATTTGTAGTGATGTTAAACATTGCATGCCAGTTTTAATGGCATGTATTCATCTAGCTAACACAGCATCTTACTGAGAACAAATGGTGTTGTCTGCCTTCAGGAGATGAGGATTTTGAAGTGAATTTGGGAGTGCACAGTAGATTCCTATTTTATTTTTTCTATTAATATGTGCTAGGCCTGCCACCACAAGCATCTAAGTTGCTCCACAGCTTCACACACTATCGTGTGCTTCATGCACAGGATACACAGAATTCTTGTTTATCTGTAGTGATATTTTTAGGTTTGTGAGGAGAAGGATGCCGTGCAGCAGCAATCTGTACAAGCCATACCAATAATTTATATTGAGGCTGACGCTTCCCTTTTTATTCCTAACTGCTATTGGTATGTGTGAGAATAAAAAATTATTTGTGGTATGAAGACATTACATGCAACAGATATATTTAGAAAGAGAAAATACCTGAGCTAATTTAAGTCAAAGACTGAAATATCCCAAACAAAAAAATCTTGTATCATAGGAGGAGATTTGAACATCACAACAGAGGTTAAAAATTTTTAAAAAATAAAATAAAAATGCTAGTATACCATGAAATAGTGCAATGGTACAGCAGAAATCTTCTTACACATGCCACAAGAATATTACCCACTGCAGCAGTCCCAGGTCAGGCTCTGTTTGGACTGAAAGTTGTAACTGAAGGAACACAAGATCAGGACAAGAACAGGGTTAGATCCTACCTACCCAGCTGCAGCTGCTGTTTGGTAAACCAACAGAGAAGAAGCCACAGCCAAAACTGACAGGCTTAGTCATAAGCCAGTCCTCAAGCAATAGGCACTTTTGGAGAAACAGTCTAGAAGAATGTCAATAAAATAAACCCAAGAGAACAGGAAAACACAGTGTCCTTTACAGCTGCTTCTGTCCTTAGCACAAAGGAAATGGCTATGAAGGCTGGACTTCTTTGCTTATTTTTTCAAAGCTCAGCTGCTAATTAAGATTGGAAGCGAACATGAACAAAGGCCTTTTTGTCTGAGTGAGAGCTTATTTCATTGAAACAGAAATCTGGGAAAATATAAAATATGTATTTCTGTTTGCACCAGTGAAAATTTCCATGCTGTCAGTACAGTGATGTTACCTCAATCCACACATACAAAAAGAGCAGCATACACTGTAGACTGAAGCGTTACAATATTTAATCTTTATCATTTAACTGTGAGCAACACAAACACATAAATACCCACAGAAAGAAAAGCACAAGGGGCAAAACAATGCAAGGGGATGAGCACAATCCAAGGAGGTTACACTTGACTTGAACCAGGGCATGAAGGTGCTGAGGCTTGTCCGGCTCTGCCCAGCAGCTCAGCCATGGCACCAGCCACAGGGCAGGGCCCTGCCTTTCCCACCTGAATTTTTACTACCATTTTCCCTTCTGCAAACCCAGATGGCAGCAGGTCCCCAGCCCTGCACAGACCCAGGCCCTGCACAGCCCTGCACAGCCCTGCCAGGCCCTGTGCTGCCAGCTCTGGTTCTGGGGGAGCCTGCACTGACTGTGCTGTCCTGCAGCCACCCAGGAGAGAGTCCTGCCCTTCCCAGCAGGGCAGCTGGGGCGGACACAGCTCCAGGGGGGCAGCCAGGGCCCATGGAGGGCAGGGCAGTGGGGACAGGGATGGCCCGAGGCCAAAGGCAAGGAGGCAGGAGCTCTTGTGGTGTTGGGGATCAGCCCATGGCCTCACCCCGTGGCCATCAGCAGGACGGTGCTGCCCACACAGGCTCCAGGCCTAGAGAGCAGGGACGCACGATGGGATACAAATGACGGCACTGTGGACACCCAGGTGTCAGGCGGGAAGCCCTTCAAGCACCTTGAGGGAGATGTCCCTGCCCAGCTGGCACCCTCTACATGGATGTCTGGGCCAAAATACCCACTTGGGCACTCAGCAGAGCAGTGGGCACCCCTGCAGGACACACTGCCTGCCGACAGACATTCAGATCTTCCTGCCAGCCTGTGGGCAGCTCTAGGCAGCTCAGCGTGGAGCAAGCCTCGGTGGCTTGAATGAAGTGTCTGGCTTTTCACCAGCTGCAGTGGCTGATCTTATTTTCAGGTTGCCTTCCACATCCATGTTTGTAGGCTGTGTGCCAAGGACATTTGTCTTTCATTTGTAGTTTTAAAATGGCTGTATCTGAGCACCGTTTAGTCTTAGGAAATGCCGCAATGTTGGTCTTGGTCCTTCTCTCTGTTTAGGTACAATACAATAATTGTAGCTAAGTTTGTTTTCCATCTCGAGATTGTATTTACGCAACAAAAGGAAGTTCACTCATTTGGATTCTTCTAAACTAGTTTCACGTTTCTGCTCCAGGAGTAACACAAGGATAGCATGTGGCAATGCTCAGCTCCAGGCAAATTATCTGAGTCAGAGCGTCAGATAAAATACCTGCGTGCGTCTTCACCAAAGCTCCCTCCCACAGACTGCAGCCTGCAGTGAGCTCCCTGTTACTGTGGATCCGCTCCTTGTCTTCATAAGCTGCACTTGTATCTCGGCTGCAGTATAAAAATATCCTCCAAGTCAGCTCTCAGGAACCATCTGCTTCCTGCAGTGGAGAAGTAGCACTTGGGACCAGGATTCTTGAGAGCAGCTATTTTCACTCTGATTAATTCAGTTAACAGGCGGCTGTAGCCATCTTGCCCTTATCAAAAAAAGGTAGACTTTTTGTTCAATTTCTCATCCACCAAGAAGGCCTGCCCATAGACCCTGACATCTGTGGTGTGGCAGAGAGTCATGTGATTCATTCAAACTCTGAAGCTGATGGTCACTCGAAAGAATCAAAGAATTCTTTGTGGCAGGAGGAAAAGGATTCCAAACTATGCCACTTCAACATATTTGAAGCCTGAATCATCTTAGGGCTTAACTGACAATTTACTCTGATATCATGAATTTATATTGCCCACCTAGATCTGGCAGTTTCCCTCATATATGAATAACAAAACAATGTCTCTGTAGCACCTGAAGAAAGGGAGACTTATCACCATAAGCAGGAAAAAAATGTTTTGACAGCCACTTAGAAAGTACAGCAGATATCTACATTCAAGTTCTGAAAGTCTCAGCTGTGATGTCACCTTTAAACTATTGTAACATAGTAGCAATAATACATGCAAACATAAAGTACAATCAAACCTTTTCTATATTCATATTAAATATTTTCTGAATTAAATAATGTTCTGTGTTAGAAATTATTAACTTTGCTGCATTTTTTTTGAGGCAGATTTCCTCCTTTATTCACTGGGATACATACTATCTTGCATAGAGATAATGCATCAGGAAATGGCAAAGCCTCACTGGAGTACTGCTTTTTCTTTTCAGTAGGGCTTAATAGAGCCAGAAGAAAGAAAAAAAACATAATAGAAACAGCATATATTTTCTCTGTGGGGCCTGTATAAAAGAATGTAATGCTTGAAGTTTCATAGTTTTTTTAAAACTCCTCATGAGAAAGAAGTATGAGATCTGTGATATTCTATTTAGTCTAAGAAAATTATGAATACTTTTCTTAAGAGGCCATTTTATGTCTAAGAGTTTTTCTATAATTCCTAACGTAGCCCTGACTGACCATTCACAAGAAGGAAACTGTTCCAAATCTGCAGAATCTGTCTTTTTCCCTATGCAACCACTGTGTTCTCTAGGCTAAAAAAGAAATAGGACAAGCAACTATACCACTGAGACTGAGAGTCAGGCTCTCTGACTCAATATCCTTACTAGGAAGAGTAGGCTAATAGCACTTCCTAGAGACCTTGAGAGGTGAGCTAGGATTTACAGTACAGTAGCTGTGTATCAGTAATGGACCCCAATCACCCTCTGTCATACCAACCAGTATCTCAAAAGAACAATGTAGTGGTTGTGGGTTATATGTGTAGCCTTTAAAATGCTACATTATTTTCCTTTTCTGAATTCTTCTGAAACATAAATATTACTTTCTTGACACTTTCTTGACTTTCAGGGCCAAAAATACGGTTTAATAATTGAAATACTTTTCTTTAAAGTTCAAAGGAAAGCAATCTCATTTTCAGTGCAAAAAAAAATTTTTTACACAAAAAATAATTTTAAAAAATCATAAAAATCAAATTAATTTTTAATGGATGAAACAACGTTTCGCTTTGACCATCTAATAATAGTTCATTGAAAGGACAGATAATGATTTAATGGATTGATTTAAGTTCTACTGCCATTTTCAAAGTCATCTTTATAAACAGGGAGGTTATAAATATGTATTTTTGTCACTGGGAGGTTTTATGATGTGCAACTACATTCTTACATGCTCATATCTCACTAACCTGTTAAGGGAATGTATATCTTGAACAGATGAGATGAATTTCTGAGAATTCTAGGATAAAAGACAGGATCCACTATTTGCACTCTTGTTAGAAAGAAGCAGTTTAAGTGACTCTTCTGAAACAAAATCAGAAAGGGAACATACAGGACAGAAATTATTTTTTATTAGCTTCTATGTTTTTCCTTTTTTCACTGTTTCTGCTGTAAGAGTGCCGATGTAGTTGATTTCTGGAAAAGAAGCAATTTGACTGATTAAACCAGGATGCTGCACTTTAAATATTCAACTGGTTACCATGGCAACAGTTTTACTTTGACACACAGCTTATCTTGTTTTAAGGAGTGCAGCCTGTTGTTATGGCAATTTGGAACACCACTATTTTTTGCCCACACATGGAAAATAAAACAGTAGTTAAAATGGGGTCAATAATTAAAAATCTAAGCCTGATTTAGTATCTTGTGGAATGCTGCAGTTTATCAAATTTATCAAACAAATAAAATATGACCAAACAGGGAAAGAAACAAGCAAAGTTCATAAAGATATAATTTTTACCCCAAAAGGAAAAGTAGATTGTAGAGGCATTTTTAATGATGAAAATTCACTGTTTTCTGCTTTCATGAAGAAACACATTATTTTGTCTTGCTGATTTCTTCAGAAGCAAAATCTAAATAAATGGATACAGAAGAACTAATATAAATTACTCCCCAAAGCTCTTGGCATTGCAAGAAGAACAAATATTCTAACTGATATTTTATAAATAGCAATACTAAATTATCAGAGCTCTGACCTAAAATAAACATTTTTCAAAAAAGAAATACTTTTTAAGAACCTAAGTGTGCACACTGCTCCCTACTGATTTCCACACTTTACATTACATGCTATGTTATCATGCACAAGATTGCGTGTTTTAAATAAGAAATAAATCTTTATGCCTTTTGCTACAGGCATATTGAATGAGCCTTTATAATTTAATCTTCATAAAAACTCAGTTCATGTTTAAACAAGAATTGGGATGGTCCTGTAAATAGAGGATAGAGCTAATGGGTCATCCAGTCACCTAGAAAAAAAAAATAAATCAGGAAGAAACTTTGATCCAGTCTTTAAAGAGGAAATAGAAAAGGTCTTTGCACTAAGCAAGTTTGGCTAGGATCTACCTGATGCACCTAAAGTTTGAAAGTGCAGTGCGGTTTTCTTTAATCTTTTCTAAGTTATAATACATATGGATATTTCAACATTTACAAGATTTGTACTGGGGTAGCTGCTTGAGGTTCTCAACATCCATATCACTATTACATTTTGTACTATGAAAAAGAAGTCACTCAGTATATAAGATCAGTCAAATTAACTTTGAGTTTCCTCATGTATTTTGCCTATAAATAAGCAAACAAACTTTCACAGGTGTGATGTCTCCAAAGATTTTTACAAACAGTATTCTACACAAAAAAAAAAAAAAAAAATAGGTAGAAATTTTGTACATGATGAATTCCCTTCCTGAATATCCATTTTTGGAAAGCATGAAAAGAGGGATTTTAGATCAAATCTGAATGTTGTGCCTCAGGTCTCTCTCTCTTTGTCTGTGCAATGGCATCAAAGTAGCTTTGAGTTTTCAATTAGTTTCTTTAAAGCACTGTTACTGTCTTCCTGTATTGTCTTCTCTCCCTTCTTCCATGCCTTTTTTTCCCTTCTGATAATTATCATGTTTAACAACTATTAGTCCCAGTCTTGTCCCCCTTCTTGGTGTCTATCAATTTTATTTCCTTCTGAGCTTCTATCTGTGAGAGCTTCATTCCCTCTTGTATTTTGCCTCCTCATTCCTGTTTCTCAGTTTTTTTCAATCTTGCTCATGATACATGGGGACAGATATGATTTCAGACATTCTTTTCTCTTCCTTTAGAAGAATTCTACTGCTGCTTTTGTTATGGAGACCATGAACTTGAAAAGTTTTTTCCTGTACTTCATATATCCACGGAAAAGATGGGGGAAAACCAATCTGAAGCAGTACAACATTAAGCTGCATGCAGCTTACAATATAAAATACTTATGACTGGCAAAGAGAAAGGTAGCAGAGGCAACTAAATGCCTTTTGACTCTTATTTTATGGGTGACTGCATGAGGGGCAGATGTTTTCCATTTTGCCTAAGGCAACACAAATCTGTGAGCTGGTGGTGAACTCATACACGAAGGAATAAAACAGTGATCCACTCATACAAGATATCAACTCCAACTATTTGGTGCTTTTTAGCAATGTCCAGTATTAGCTACTAGTTCCTTCTACAGGCCTGTGAAGGAGAGGGTTGCTGTTTACCTCTCTGTTCAGGCAGACAGAAGAAGCCCAGACTCGGTGGTGGAGCAGCTCCAGAGATTCCTTTGAGTAGCTGGTCTGTGACTTGCCCAGGGCCTTGCAGAGGAGCAGTGGCAAAGGGTAGGACTGTCAGCCAGGAGCTGCCTGGGCTCTACCCACCAGCAGGCCCCCAGGTGACAAGCTCCTTGAGAGACGTTCTTCCTGTCCTTTCTGTCAGTGGAAATTCAATATTAAAGAGCTGGTTTAAATTATAGACTTGCAACACCTTCCAATAGTTATGTGAGCAGATGGGAATGCAGTTTATATTGAACATCTGAGAATTTCATCTTATTGTTAAATATATTAAGCAACAGCTTCTCAGTTTCAGATTATTTCTTTAAGCTACTTGGATGTCAGCCGTGTGCATTCTTAATTGGAAGATTTCAGCAATATGACTATTCTCTGAAATTAGATTTGCTTATTGCTTATGTTTCTTGATTGCTATCAGTGCCTTTCCACTTTTGTTTCCCAGCTTTTTAATCCTGTTCTTTTCCCTTTTCATACCGTGTCTTTTCTGTATTTCTTTGTTTTTCATTTTTCTGAGGAAAAAAAAAAGGGGGGAATTTAACAGTCCACTGATAAGATTATTAAAATGCCATTTAGAAAGATAGTAATAGGAGATTAACGTGATAACAGAGAAGAAATTAATCTTTCTCATTGGTTCAATAAACAGTCAATTTCTGCTAAATTTGAGAATAATCTCTACCCAGCCTATATATGATTTCTCTGTACATCCATTAGTTGTATGCTGAAATCAGTAGATTTAGTTTATATCTTAAAAATTTTTCTCATTTAGCTTTTACAAGGACATAGAGTCAAACAGTAGCTGTGTTATTTTCTCAAGCTAAGCCAAAAGGAAAAAAAAAAGCAGAATCTTTCCAATAGACTAAACAATTCTTTAGCTCTGAATCTTTCTTATGCCCACATCTTTAGATCACTGCAACTGACTACAGCTTTCCATTTATAGATTATTGTTACCATTATCACATTCTCTAACACTGTCACAAATGCTTAACTTGCTATTACATCTGGATGCCCCCAGCAATATCACTGACTAAAATCCAATTGCAGAAGGAATGCTGGTGAACATGATAGAGAGATACAGCAAAATGAAATGGCATTTTGAAATTTTGCTAGATCCTTTTTACTCAGGCCAGTCCAATTACTCAACTTGTTCTCATTACCTCCTTTGATATAAGTATTTGATGGTTTGCTGCTGTGCACATTATCACATATGGAGCCGGCAGCAGTTTGCAGTGAGTTTATGAAGAATCATTTCCAGAAGGAGGGAAAAAAGCAACCCTGTGCAGACTTAAGTTGGAGACCATAGGAGTTTGGTCCTAAGTCTCACTTTTATAGTTTACTGTGTGGGCATAGAAAAGTAAATTTGAAAAAAATCATGGAACTGTCAAGTTTCTTTTTCAAGGACAGGAGGCCATCATTGCTGTTACTCACTCTGAGTCAACAATAATTGCAGTGAGACTTGGGATCAATCTAGAAAAGTA